TTTTTCGGGAAATTACAAATTTTACTTGACCAGAGGGGTAAAGTAGTTGTTAATAAATATTACCGCAGTTAAACTATAGAACCATGAAGCCAAGTCGGTAAAATAACGACCTGCCTGACCTGAGGAAGGGAAATGCAAGCAGATGTAATATTAAAAGAGCCTCCCCCATGGGTGCCCCCCCTCAGCCTCTCGGGGGGGCACGCGTAGAGGGGGGCGGGGGGGCGCGGCCCCCCCCCTCGTACGCCCCTGATGGCCCCCTGGATAGTATGATATATATTAATGTTTAGAAGGAGGAGAGGATATGTACAGTGGTCGGATGGATGGCCCCCTGGATAGTATGATATATATTAATGTTTAGAAGGAGGAGAGGATATGTACAGTGGTCGGATGGATGGCCCCCTGGATAGTATGATATATATTAATGTTTAGAAGGAGGAGAGGATATGTACAGTGGTCGGATGGATGGCCCCCTGGATAGTATGATATATATTAATGTTTAGAAGGAGGAGAGGATATGTACAGTGGTCGGATGGATGGCCCCCTGGATAGTATGATATATATTAATGTTTAGAAGGAGGAGAGGATATGTACAGTGGTCGGATGGATGGCCCCCTGGATAGTATGCGTTCAATGGAGCAATATCTTCCTGAGGTTGGACATAGAAACTACTCAGATCATAAGGGTAAATATTATTCATATACTTTAAAAAAGTAGTAGACATAGATAGAATGGAATTAACGACGAAAATTGTTTAATAAAATGTACGGAAGGGAAAGGATTGATTATTGATTGATTAACTAATTGATTGATTGATCAGCAAAGGATAGATTGATAAACTGATTGTATATGAGAAGGATTTATTAGTTAATTGATTAATTATTGATAGAATGATCAGGAGATGAAGGATAGATTGATAAACTGATTGAATAGGAGAAGATCGATAGATCATCGATTGATTGATTGGTTGGTTTGGAGAAGACGGATTGATAGTTTATTAATAAATTGATTAGTTGATTGATCAATAGATTGATTAGGAGAGGAAGAATATATTAATTAAAGATGGATTGATTATTGATTAATTGATTGTATAGGAGAAGTTGGTTTTGATTGATTCATTTAGGAGAGGAAGAATAGATTATTTAACTGATTATATGCGAGAAGATGGATTGATTATTGATTAATTGATTGTATAGGAGAAGTTGGTTTTGATTGATTCATTTATTAGAAGAGAAGATTGAATAATTGATTGATTGATTAGGAGAGGAGGGACTGATGAGTGAAAGTGGGAGTTCTGGATTCTATTCCTCCAGGTCTTCACCCAGGTTACTTTAATTACATAATAAATCATGTACACCGTACACTGTACACTAAACACTGTATGATATACACTACACACTGTACTGTACATTAAACTTGTTTCACTGTACAGTACACTATACCACGGTGCACTGTACTATACACTATACAAGGTGTACTGTACTGTACACTACACAAGGTGCTTTGTACTGTAACAACATACAGTGCTCTGTACTGTACACTACACACAGTTCAATGTACTGTAACTACACTCAAGGTGCACTGTACTGTACATTAAACTTGGTTCACTGTACAGTACACTATACCACGGTGCACTGTACTATACACTATAAAAGGTGCACTGTACTGTACACCACACAAGGTGCTCTATACTGTAACAACATACAGTGCTCTGCACTGTACACTACACACAGTGCGCTCTACTGTAACTACACTCAAGGTGCACTGTACTGTACAATACACACGGTGTACTTTACTGTGCAATAAACATGGTGTACTGTACTTTACACTAAACACGGTCCATTCTACTGTTTACTTAATACGGTACACTGCATATTCAGTATTCATTACTGATATACAATTTACAGTCCCCTAGCAGAGTGCACTGTACACTATTAGCTAGAATAAAAGAATTAGTTGAATTAATAAAACCGTTGTTTAGATCACATACTGCTCTTGGTGTACTGTATTGTACTGTACACTACACTACACTACTGTACAATTAATAAAACCGTTGTTTAGATCACATCCTGCTTTTGGTGTACTGTATTAAGTACTGTACACTACACTACTGTACAATTAATAAAACCGTTGTTTATATCACATCCTGCTCTGGGTGTACTGTATTAAGTACTGTACACTACACTACTGTACAATTAATAAAACCGTTGTTTATATCACATCCTGCTCTGTGTGTACTGTACTGAACACTACACTACACTTCTGTACGATCAATGAATACTTTGTTTAGATCACATCCTGCTCTTGGTGTACTGTATTGTACTGTACAATACACTGCCCCACCGTACAATTAATAAAACCGTTGTTCAGATCGTGTCCTGATCTTTGTGTACTGTACTGAACACTACACTACACTACACTACTGTACAATTAATAAAACCGTTGTTTAGATCACATCCTGCTCTGGGTCCTCAGTATGAACCTAATCCTGGAGAAAGGTTCTCAAGGAAGGTTTTTGTGGGAGGACTCCCACCTGATATAGATGAAGGTAATTACAACTATTTTTTTAGAATATTCCCTCAAATATTTTCGAAAAGAAACTGAACACCTGCCTCAAACTACAATTTTCTAATCCCCATATTTTTGCCAACAGATCGTGTAAACCTTAGATATTCCAAACTTATAAGTATTCATAGTTTATAATATAGTTTATAAGACAGTAGTAAAGATATGTGTATTAGAAAATTTGTGTTTGGGGCAAGCACGAAAACTTGTTTAAACTTATAATGGAAAAGTCGTTTTGACCGCTGATAAAAATCTAAACTATACAATTACACAGTTTAAAATGCTGTTTTATTGAAAACCCAGCTTTGCCTGAAAACAATGTTTTCGTCTTATTTATAAGACCTTTTAAACCGAGCAAAAAGTACTTCCGAGGTTCTGCTAAGTTCCTCGGTCAAAATTTGAGGCAAATCGGTCCAGGGGTTCGTGAAAGAATAAAAAAGTAAATAACAGAATAAAGAAAATAAGAAATAGACATAAGAAAAAAAAAGTAAAAAAAAAATTAAGAATGTAAAAGAATAAAGAAGATTAAAAGAATAAAAAGATAATAAAAATATTAAAAGACAAAAGAAGATAAAGAAAATTTAAAAAGAAAAACGTAAGATAATGGTAAAAATTGGTGAGAAAGAAGTAAGCTCTAAAAAAGAAAAAGATTTTGTTTTATAAAAATAAATCTAAAGCTCCCAAGCTGTACAAACATTACAAAACAAACACAAATACACACTTACATTGCTTGCATTACTTACTTACTTACATTAGAACAACTGCGCAAAAAAATGCAAAAAATAGTACTAGCGACAACTAATAGGATTTTCTATTTTTCAAATGTAAATACTGTACATGAATATATTTATAATCTTATGTACAGGTTGAGGGGTCTGTACAACAACTATTGTAGAACAGTGGAAACACTGTACATAACTATATTTATAATGTACATGATGAGGAGTCTGTACAACATCTAATAGAGCAGTGTGAATACTGTACATAATTATATTTATAATCTTGTGTACAGGATGAGGGGTCTGTACAACGTCTAATAGAGCAGTGTGAATACTGAACATAAATATATTTACTGAACTTATTTACAGGTTAAGGGGTCTGTACAACAACTAATAGAGCAGTGTAAAGACTTACATAATTATATTTATAATCTTATGTACAGGATGAGGGGTCTGTACAACATCTAATAGAGCAGTGTGAATACTGTACATAAATATATTTACTGAACTTATGTACAGGATTAGGGGTCTGTACAACAACTAATAGAGCAGTGTAAACACTGTACATAATTATATTTATAATCTTATGTACAGGATGAGGGGTCTGTACAACATCTAATAGAGCAGTGTTAATACTGTACATAAATATATTTACTGAAATTATGTACAGGATGAGGGTTCTGTACAACAACTTATAGAGCAGTGTATCCAAGATGAGGATAAACTTTATCTTTGTGTTTCTTCTCCCACCATCAAGGTAAAGAAGAATATAAAATAATTTTAGTCATTTCTGTCATTTGTCGTTTTTTTATTATAATGTTGCGAACATTCTCTCATTTTTTTATTTCTTTCTTATGTTATTTTTCTCATCATGTTCTTGTGAATTTCTATTTCTATCAGGATATTGTTTGTTTCTATCAGGATATTGTTTGTTTCTATCAGAATATTGTTTGTTTCTATCATGATATTGTTTGTTTCTATCAGGATATTGTTTGTTTCTATCTGGATATTGTTTGTTTCTATCAGAATATTGTTTGTTCATGAGATTGTTTGTTTCTGTCAGGATATATTGTTTGTTTCTATCAGGATATTGTTTGTTTCTATCATGATATTGTTTGTTTCTATCATGATATTGTTTGTTTCTATCATGATATTGTTTGTTTCTATCAGGATATTGTTTGTTTCTATCATGATATTGTTTTTTTCTATCATAAAACTGTTTGTTTCTATTATGGTATTGTTTGTTTCAATCATATTGTTATTTTTTTATGTTGTCCTATTTCTATCTAGAAGTTCTGTATTTGGATAATGTTGTAAAATATTTCTATCATGTTATTTTGTATATCTATCTTGTGGTATATTTATAACAGGAAGTACTGTATTTCTATCTTGTGGTATATTTATATCATGAAGCACTGTATTTCTATCTTGTGGTATATTTATATAATGATGTATTCTATTTCTATCATGTTGTTATGCTTTTCTATTTTAATTTTCTTTATATCTATCATGTTGTTATATTTCAGGATAAACCGGTTCAGATCCGACCCTGGAAACTGTCTGATGCTGATTTTGTATTGGACGCTAGTTTGCCCCTAGACCCTAGGAAAACAGTATTTGTGGGAGGGGTCCCTAGACCCCTTAAAGCAGGTAATTTATCCACCATCCTAATGTACTGCAGTTTCTGAGTTTGTTTTTATTTATCCCAGAATCTGCAGTACAATTTTAGTAAAAGAAATTCAAGATGTCCCTAAAAAACTAAATTGTTTGATCAAAGCGGAATTTCTTCATTAGGCCACAAACTAATTGCATTCTAGTATTCAAGCCATCAGCAAAGGCAACTTTTTAAAAAAATTTTTAATGTTGCATGCATTTAAAATTGATGGAGATATACAAGAAATTTATCCAAATTTCAAGTTATTGATGATAAATCACGGTTGTCCTTATACCTGGAATCTTAGTCAAATTAAAATATAAATAAGATCCAAGCTTGAAATACCTATTACTTGAAATACCTATTATTTATTTGGGCTGGCAATGATAATGGATCTATTAAAGAATTAATAGTATTTAGTTGAGCTGGCAATGATAATGGATCTATTAATGAATTAATATTATTTAGTTGAGCTGGCAATGATAATGGATTTATTAACAAATTGATATTATTTAGTTGAGCTGGCAATGATAATGGATCTATTAAAGAATTAATATTATTTAGTTGAGTTGGCAATGATAATGGATCTATTAATGAATTGATATTATTTAGTTGAGCTGGCAATGATAATGGATCTATTAATGAATTAATATTATTTAGTTGAGCTGGCAATGATATGGATCTATTAATGAATTAATATTATTTAGTTGAGTTGGCAATGATAAAGGATCTATTAATGAATTAATATTATTTAGTTGAGTTGGCAATGATAATGGATCTATTAATGAATTAATATTATTTAGTTGAGTTGGCAATGATAAAGGATCTATTAATGAATTAATATTATTTAGTTGAGTTGGCAATGATAATGGATCTATTAATGAATTAATATTATTTAGTTGAGTTGGCAATGATAATGGACCGTCTGTATGGTGGAGTCTGCTATGCAGGAATAGATACTGATCCAGAACTCAAATATCCAAAGGAAAAAAACATTCAAATATTCATTCTCTTATTTTAAAACTTAAAAACAAAAGATTATATAATGAACAAACCAAATTTGAGTATACTTTGTTTTTAATCATTTTGTTCTCCTGTCCCCCTCTTTTGATAAACTATTTCCCCCTCCCTATATTAGGGAAGGAAAATGTTTTTAGAATTATGTTGGTAATAAATCTAGGTCCCGAGATTACTTGACTCTTAGTCTAATTCAGTCTCTCTGACTCTATCTCTAGCCAAAACTCAAGGCTAAATTTGTTGAATAATGTTTGTTGAGTAGGGAGCAGGTAGGGTTGCTTTCAGCAATCAGCAGAGTTATATTGCAGCAATATCTGCTAGATTTGTTCAACTTCAACATGGAGAAATTGACAAGAGGGTAAGTTTTTTAAAGGGATTGTTCAGGGATTTTGAAAAAAGGGCACGGGCAGTACTAATCCTAATTTTCAACTTTACCTGTTTTTGGACTTAGTTTTTTCCTGATATTTAAGTTGTAACTTGTGCAAGGGTAAAGATCAACATGTGTTTTAATTCAAGCTTTGTTAAATCTTCCATTTGTGAAGATTGTGAAGAGCCTTTGGAGTGTCCAGAAAAATCAAACGCCTAAAAACAGGTTTAAGAGATTATAGCAAATTTGTTCAGGTTGAGGTTAAGCCGTATGTGCTTGATGATCAGCTGTGCGATGAATGCCAAGGAGCGCGCTGTGGAGGAAAGTTTGCGCCATTTTTCTGCGCTAACGTGACGTGTCTTCAGGTAAGACAAGATTATTGAAATAAACAAAAAAAATCTGGCAATTATTTGTGTCTTTTATTTTTAATTGGTCCATAAATGTTCTTGTGCAACCATGATTTCTTTGAAGGAAAACAGCTCTCCTGTCTGCATTTTTCAATAACGAAATTCCAAATTTAAAAATTGTTGTCATAAAAAAAGGCGAATCTAACGAGGTCCAAAAAAAGTTAAGTGGAAAAAATCAGATTCAAAAGTTTAATACAATTGTAATAGTTAGTATAGTTATTAGATGAGTCATTTTTTGCTAAAACAAAGAAATATAAAGCATTCTGTTCTTAGTTGTTCATGGCAATGTTTTCCGAAATGATTTGTCACAACCCCCCCCCCCCTCATTTTAAATCACAAATACTGGCTTCTTGTGAAATTAACATAATTTTTTTTAGTATTACTGTGAGCAATGCTGGGCCTCTATTCACAGCCGACCAGGTCGTGAGTTTCATAAACCACTGGTTAAGGAGGGCGCAGACAGGCCGCGTGCTGTTCCCTTCCGCTGGTGCTGAAGCAAAGACGACATTTAAATGTCAAGATGTCAACTACCTTTTAACCAAAGACAATTAGTCAATAATGAATAGAATTAGAACCCGTCTTTTATGACAGACGAAGTTTTGCACATACCTTAAATTTGTGACATCATTGCTGTATTTTTCCGACCTTTTCATTAGTTATCTATAAGTAGAAGAGCGGCTGTGTGGATCTTGAACAAGGGTCCCCACAGTCTCAGCTGAATTAATTAAATTTAAACCTGTGTAATGTCGTCCCCCTTAATACCGGTTCACTGTTAAACACTTGGACAAAGTTTATTCTAGTCAATTATTAAATTTAATTCATCCTTTGCATCCAGTTCTAGATCTAGTCACTTCAATTGTCAGCATATTTCTTCTAATTAATCAAACATATATTAGTTATCAAATATTAAAAGTTACACTGCTAATTTGTTCCTCTAATCGATTATTTCTTCTTACAATTCTAGTTGATCAAATTTAGCATGATTATTGATCATCAGTTCGAGCAGATGATCACAGTGATCAAATTTTTCTTGTCTTTTCAAGTTTGTCTAGATCAATTGTTGTATTTATTGTGACAGTTGAACTATTTACAGTCTTATCAGATCTTTATCCATCTATTCAGAGACTAAACCAAAAATACTCATTTAACAAAAAGGGTTCACAAGTTAAAAGAGAAGTTTTTTAAGCTTAATGATTTTATTTAAAAATTTTAACACCCCCCCCCCCACTCCCCTTTTCCCAAAGGATAACCATTTTTGTTACCTTACCATGTCATAGGACAAAACATTCAATAAGTTTCCCCTGACTTACACTTTCCAGTTTACACACTGCCTTGAACCTTCACTTACTTTGGTGAGTGCAAATATCTAGGAAACATCTTTTTTTTGAAACACACTTTAGATATCTCTTAGTAAAAAATATTATTTTGCTACCATGATAATAATATTTTTAAAAGTGGTTGTAACTTGTAACGGCTTGATGTGTATTGTGTAAGTCTTTTTAACAACATTTTTATAATTAACTGTTCCCTTTTCTATAATTTTATATATTTTTTACGATTGGAATGGAAATGCTCAAAAATGCCCTAAATTTTTCAATTTTTCTATAATAAAACTTTGTGAACTTTTTTAGATTGTTAAATTTTTATCGCCTATTTTAATACTATAAGTGCACCTCTGTATTACTCATTTTCCAAATATTGTAAAGTTAAGTATTTTTTTTGTAGCTCTGTGATCGGTATTTTTGAACCAACATTTTTATAGGAATTGTACTTTTTGGCGCTTTTTACTAATTCACGTGACAATTGAAAGCTTTGCCAGTTCAAGTTGCTGATATGACACTGTATATTCAGTCTTTAAGTTAGGATCTGGGTAGAAACCATTAATTAAGCAATCAATTATTCATTCATTCAATTCATTGATTGATTGATTGTAAAGCAAAAACCAGTTCTAAATCAACTCAGAAGATCTGGTGGAATTGTTACCAAAGAGTAATTAGTAAAATTTATTTTTCACTCGTTTTATTTTTTTAATTTATTTTTCAATCTTATTACCTCATGAATTTTTTTAAAATGAATAATAGAAAAGTTTAGACTGACAAGATTGAATTTCCGGAAATATTTCCCCAAAACCAACCAACCCAAATATCATCATTTATACGTATTTGATATACAGGGTGTCCCAATACCACAAGGCACTTTATTCGAAATTTCAAACCCTTGGTCCCAGCTTTAAAGCCCTTTACGACGGAAATTCATAAAAGATGGTGATAAATTTTTTAACGAAGATATTTTTGTGTAATGCGTACATTTTTCAACCTATAGCAAACCTTTTCTGGTCGATTATTATATTTTTCTAATTAGTTTGTTATTTTCAAGAAAGTAAAAAAAAGAAAAACATATTTTTGTCACCAGTTCCTGCTACTTACACTCACTGTTTTTTAATAAATTTGATGTTTTTGTAGAACTTTTTTATTTTTTTAAATGAAAAAGATGATAACAATTTCTTACGATAAACCTAACACCATTATATAGTTGATGTATCCTTCCTACCAGGATTCTACAGTGTACACAATTTCGTGGATTTTCCAAGAAACCCATTTCCCGGATTTTTATGAACCCAACCCACTGGATTTGTGACACATTGTAGGGTCTGGTATATTTATATTTTCTATATTTATAATCATCTATCAAGTGCTAACGAGACAGCCAGTTTGATTACATTTTTAAACAATAATAACTTGTGTATAAAAATAAACCCATCAAATAGGTAGTTCTAACTAATTTTAAATTAATTATCGTTCTAGCTTGATCACTTGCTTTTCTTAACCATCACGTTCTCTTTAGTTTTTTGTTAAGAAAAGCTTAAAATTGTTTTAGTGTTGTTCTGTACACTTTACAAACTAGTTTCATTAGATTTTATTTTTGAAATATATACGTGTTAATATTAAAATAGCATCTTTATTTATGAGATTATTGTTAAACTGCTGTTGTTGTAGTCCTTCCTATAACTGAATCATCTTCTTGGCCAGTCTTGAGCCCGAGGTGGATGATCAAGTCAATAGGGGTGTCACAGAGGGAGCTAGCAGTCATGGTAGTCGGCTTTGCCGGGCAGTTAAAAATGTGGGTTGTGGTATGAGAGCAATGTCCACAGTAGGATTATTTGATGTAAATACCGTGAAGAATATCCGGAGCGGAGTTTGGCTAGGAAGTTCTGACTCCTTGATGTTGATCTTAGGCAAACTTGCCAGTGGGGCTATTTACATCTATTCCATCTATAGTGTATGGATAGCGTGAGTTACCACAATAACTATTTATATGAAGTTTTTGGGACAGAAATTTTCTCTTTATCGAGAAGGTTCAAGCATTTTCAGGCGAGAACCTTCGAGATACAGAGTAAATTTAAGTCCAAAAACTTCATGCCAAACTAATAGTTAAAAATAATTTTATGCAACATTTGTGTACTCATCTAATTGCAATAGCTATTTCTAGATAAATAAGCTTTTAAAGAATGCAGAAATAAATTTTAAAAGTTATTTAATTTCTTATTTTCATTTATATTGAAAAAAAATATTTTTGAAACATCCTGAGTTTGTTTGGAGAAAATCCGGAAACCAATCAAAACTTTATATCACACGTGCTATAATGTACAGCTATTTTAACTTTTAAAGGACTTTTATAACAAAAAGCAAGTTAGATTGATTAAGTACGCAATAGTTTCATAAAAGATAAGATTCAACGACGACTTTTATTAAGTCTTCAAGCTAATTTCTTCTTTAAATGCTTGTTCCTGCCCCTTCACAACATTTTTTATTATCAGACAATTTCTTAAATTTTGAAGAGTGTAATAGTTTTAACAAATTTTTGCAACAACCTCAAAATTTTTAATCCATACATATTTGTTTTCTGATGGTGTAAACCTTTGATATTTCAACTAAAAAGATCTACATTGTATTGTTTGAAATTCCAACAATCTCCGACATTGGATTGCAAAGATATAGGAATTAGAAAATCAGAAGTTGTGGCCGACTCAATTTCTTTATTTTGAGATCACAATTGAAAACTTCCGATATGAATTAAAAATTTCGACAACACTCCCTTTGACAGCAACTCGGTTATACTATTATAAGAATGTAGAAAAAAAATTGCCCGCCCCAGGATCGAAGTGACATAGTTTTACTAAGAGTAAGACCAGCTTCCAATAGAGCTTTGGATAGATCATACATTCCAAAAACTAGAGATGGTGTCTTTCTTATCTCTTAAATATATTATCAAAGTTTTTATTTTACAATAGACATCCTCTATAATTTAAAAACGAGTTCATGTTATAAATGAAATTATTACATCAAATCAAATACATATATAATTATATCGTTTATAGCTGGCTTAGCTACATATAAAATAGTCACAATAGGATTAGTAAATAGTTCATATTTTTACAATGGTCTAGGGGTTTAAAATCAAAATTACATTATATGTAATACGTATTTTTACGAATGTCGTTACAATTATTCGCATCTTAATTTAAGAATAATGCAATTTTACTAATTCTTGCCAAATGTTCAAATTTTTCTGATTTTTTAAGGATGTTCAAATTAAGCAAGATTTTTTTGGCAGATGTTGAATGATGTTGGCAGATGTCATGGCGGATGTTGAATGATGTTGGCGAATATTAAATGATGTTGGAAGGATGTTAGCTGAAAGAAAGCACAGAATGATGTTAACGCTGAGGAGTAGAGAAAAATTCCTCCTCTTCTGATGAAGAAAGCTAAATATAATAATTTTAATTAATTAATAAGTTTTTTAATTAAGACAAACAAAAAAGTATCCAAAGCGTGTTGAAATAATGAAAGAATTACATTATTTAATATTTTTTTACTTTCTTATTGTTAGACAAATGTTTAGAATAAAACCCACGACATGCATCTTTTAACGGTCATTTGATAAGAAATTTTAACTGAATTGAACATGAAAACAAACAAAAACTACTTTTAAATGTACAAAAAAAATGTTTGGGAAGCTAATAAAAAACTTAAGTATAGTTAAATGTTAAGTTTAAACCTTGGTGTTTATTTCTTCTTGTGAATCTAAAATTATTTTTAAACCACCGATGTTAATAGACAAATTTAAATGTCTTTAACAAAACAAATAGGCAAATAGTTCTAAAAACTAGATTCTGACTTCAAGTAAGTATATTTTTGAAGTATTTAAAGTCGATTTTATCCACCCGTGTAGGACTGAATCCTAGAAACTATTTACTTAAAATAATAGAATTCATTCAAATTCTTAAAACCAGATTCTGCATTTTAAGAGTAACTTATGCTTTAACAAGAATTTTCCTTAACTTTTTTGGGTAGTTTTTAATCCTTTACCTTGGTCTTTTTCCCGGTTCTTTTGGCCGTTTGTGCGACCGAAGCAATTTTTCTCTGAAAAAAAATAAACACTTTAAGTGAATTAAATCAATTATTGATTTTTAAAAAAATTTTCTTAAAGCTGTACTGAGGAAAATAAACTATGGGGGGGGGGGGACTAACCGAAGTCTCGATTTTTGCAGTAAACATGAGGAATAAAATAATCGAGATTTAATAAGATATACTAAAAATAACTGTTGTGAATCGTTCCTAACGTTCTTAAACATGTAGAAGGGTGACATAAATTTTGAAAAACTTTTTAATATTTACGAAAATTATTACCTTCGTTTTCTTTTTAGATGCTGGGGTAATCTCAACCGAACTGAATAAATTAATAATTATAGAATAAATGAATACATAAATAAAAAAATATTTAGAGGAGATGATTAGATGAATGAACAATTACAGAAATATTTAGATAAGATGAATAGATGAATACATAATTAAAGAAATATTTAGATAAGATGAACTGGATGAATACATAATTGAAGAAATATTTAGATGAGATGAACTAGATGAATACATTTTTTAACTTTAATAATTTATTTTAATTAAATTTTACAATATAATTTCAATATGATATCAGATGGAAACATTTTGAGACTTCTATATTTCTTGTTTTTCATTCTTTCTTCTTGATCGTCCATTCCTTGTCCATCCTTCAATCATACTTTGGCTAATTTTGAAAATAAAAATAAATGAATTTTTTGGATGTTTTCTGAAGCTAGCCAAATTGCAGAGGCAGAACTATTTTTTGGAGCCCTGTAGCTATATTCTATATATTGAGAGTGGCAAGGTTACTCTCCCCTTGTTTGTTTTTAAATTTTACTTCAGTCATGATACTGTGGTCAGCTCCTGCATTCCTAGCTAACAAACTTTCAATTAAATTTTCTTGATGGAGAGGGATGAGGGGGGCGTTTTACACATTTTCCAGTTTTTTTTATCTCGAGTAGGACATAGAGGAGGGATGGGACGTCTGCCATCCTGTGTATTTGTCTTTAATCGCTATCTGTTAAAAAAATAGATAGTGTAAAGGTCTAATCCCCTTCTAATTTTTCCTGTTTATAGTTTTCTTCTTCTTTCTTGTTTATCTTGCTTTAAGCACCCATCTCTACTGTCAAGAGATTTCCCTTCAACTTTGTTCTGTTCAATTTATTTTTCTTCTTGCTTCTTGTTTCTTGTTTTTACACTTTAAGGCCTTTCCAACTAGTTCTTTTAACATCCAGTTGTGGAGCAGGTGGGAGAGAGATAAGGAGGTTTGTAGGAAGAAGGGTATAGGGGATTTCTCCCTGTGTTCCTTCATTTTATACCGTTTCCCAGTTAGGAGAATTAAGGAATTTACCCATAACTGCACCCGATATGCAAAATGGGGAGTTGTGATCCCTAAAAGCTCTCTTGACAGGTATCTTCCGTGGCAATCCAGTCCTCACATCTGGTCGAGTAAAAAACCGGTATCCTTAAGCATGGCTTGTATTCCCACGAGGGGTTAAACTCCTCTTTCAGTGCACCAAGCTTAAGATGAAGTTTTGTTTTAATCTATGCTTCCAGCTTCCCCTGTAGGATACAAGATGCGTAACTAAACTCAGCGCTTCCCCAGCTGCAATTCTGGGACTGCATAGTAGGTCCGTTCTGCTTGAAAGAAAGCAGGCAACTGCTAGATGAATACATAATTAAAGAAATATTTAGATAAGATGAATAGATGAATAAACAATAAAAGAAATATTTAGATAAGATGAACTAGATGAAAACATAATTAAAGAAATATTTAGATATGATGAATAGATGAATAAATAATTAAAGAAATGTTTAGATAAGATGAACTAGATGAATACATAATTAAAGAAATATTAAGATAAGATGGATAGATGAATAAACAATTAAAGAAATATGAACTAGATGAATACATAATCAAAGAAATATTTAGATAAGATGAATAGACGAATACAAAATTAAAGAAATATTTAGATCAGATGAATAGATGAATACATAATTAAAGAAATATTTAGATAAGATGAATAGATTTCATATTTTTATTCAACTACAAAGCACGAGATAATACAAATAAAAAAATCACAATTTACTATGTAGTTTGGACCCGCCTAACCAGATTAGGTTGTTTTAATTGGTTGGCCCACAAGCTGCCTTTTTTAGTTCAAAGTTCGCATCAATTACTAAAGTTTCGATATGTGGAGATGATTTTAGAAAACTAGTGTCATCAGCAAATAGATTAGTAAAAGTTAAAGAAATATTTAGATAAGATGAAGAAATGAATACAAAATTAAAGAAATATTTAGATAAGATAAATAGATGAATAAATAATTAAAGTAATATTTAGATAAGATGAACTAGATGAATACACAATGAAATAAAAATTTAGATAAGATGAATAGATGAATATAAAGTTAAAGAAATATTGAGATAAGATAAATATATGAATAAACAATTTAAGAAATATTTAGATAAGATGAACTAAATGAATACATAATTAAAGAAATATTAAGATAAGATGAACTAGATAAATACATAATTGAAGAAATATTTAGATAAGATGAACTGGATGAATACATAGTTAAAGTAATATTTAAAGGAGATGATTAGATGAATACACAATTAAAGAAATATTTAGATAAGATGAATAAATGAATACATAATTAAAAATATTTAGATAAGATGAATAGATGAATACTTAATTAAAGTGATATTTAGATAAGATGAATAGATGAATACACAATTACAGAAATATTTAGATAAGATGAATAGATGAAAACATAATTAAAGAAATATTTAGATAAGATGAATAGATGAATACATAATTAAAGAAATATTTAGATAAGATGAATAGATGAATAAATAATTAAAGTAATATTTAGATAAGATGAACTAGATGAATACACAATGAAATAAAAATTTAGATAAGATGAACTAGATGAACTACATTATACAGTATGATCATTGATCAAGTATTCCTGAAACGAAGTTTGACGTCAGAAATGGATCAAAAATCAATAAATACATTAACTTTTTTAAATTTTTTATTCAGTATACTATAGAAACATGTTCGAAGTGGGGCCACCATCAACTTTGACACATATTACTGATAATGTACACTTGATCTTGGGACTCTAGAACTCTCGTCTCCAGATGGACTTGGCATTGTGAAATAATGATTTTGTTTTCATAAATGAAAATGTTCTATAGAAATGGATAGAAAAAAACTGAATTTGAGGATTTTAAAATAAATTTAGTCAAACTTTGTAGCAATACTACTTCATACTGTAAACAGAGGAATAGATAAACTATTAATAAATGGATGAATCGATTATTAAAGAAATAGATAAATAGATGAATAGATAAAATAGATATAAATAGATAAATCGATTATTAAAGAAATAGATAAATAGAGGAATAGATAAAATAGATATAAATAGATGAATCGATTATTAAAGAAATAGATAAATAGATGAATAGATAAAATAGATATAAATAGATAAATCGATTATTAAAGAAAGAGATAAATAGATGAATAGATAAAATAGATATAAATAGATAAATCGATTATTAAANTAGCTAGATAATTGGAGAAATATTTAGCTAGATAATTGGAGAAATATTTAGCTAGATAATTGGAGAAATATTTAGCTAGATAATTGGAGAAATATTTAGCTAGATAATTGGAGAAATATTTAGCTAGATAATTGGAGAAATATTTAGCTAGATAATTGGAGAAATATTTAGCTAGATAATTGGAGAAATATTTAGCTAGATAATTGGATGACTAAAATAATATAATGGCGCAAACACTCACTTTGCATATTGTAAGAAGGAAATTGAACAAAGTTTGGAAGTTTAACGAAAAGTTTTTTGAGTAGTTTCTACCACAAACTTAGTTCTCAGCAGTTTTCTATTTTAATTACATCAAAAAGAAATCCTCTTAAATTTGCTATCTAGCAAAAACTTTTTAAATAACCCGTAAAAAGCAAGACATTTTGTAATAGCTCTGTAAATGTTTCTAGCAACCGGTTTTATTTTTGATGTAGACTCATAACTTTGCCTACGAGAAGAATTTGAAGTCAGATTATCGATATCTCTTCCCGGAGACTTGGAACCTCTGAAAAATGACCTCCGTCGGCTCCGACTTTTTTATTCCCGTCCATTTTATAAATATGCAAACCTAAAGCCAAAAAAAATTTTCAAATTTTCAAATTATAAAAATAATATTTTCTCTTTTCTTTTACTGCAATATTTTTAATTATAACTATACATTTGTTTAGTTAACAAAAATCGAAAAAAACTGGATTTTTGACTTTAGGAAAAAATTTAAATTTTTTCGTGTATTGTAAGGTGGCATTGGGATTATATATTCAAAAAATGGACAATTTATGTTTATCAAGGCCGGAGATAAAAAATCGGAGCCGATGGAGGCCACTTTTCAGAGATGGATATCGACAATCTGACTTCATATCCTGTTCCTATGCAATTTATGAGTCTACATGACTTTTCAAACCTCGGTATGCAACCTAATACTACACATAGTTTTTAAATCAACATTTGTCAACACTGGTTCATTATTAGATTTGTGACAAACCTGGATTTTAAGTGTAAATCAATGTTTGTAACTTTTGTTCTATGTTTATTAAATTTACCTGGTCAACACTTCCTTCAAATCAAACCGTTTCCTAGCATTCCGAGAAGGCCTTAAAAATTAAGATATAAAATAATATTACCAAATACAATTGCTCATATATATATATATATAGGATAAGATAAGATAAGATAAGATAAGATAAGATAAGATAAGATAAGATAAGATAAGATAAGATAAGATAAGATAAGATAAGATAAGAGAAGGATCTGAAAACCCTTCCATCTATGTGTGGCTATAGTATAAATATGCCCTAAAATAGACAAAAAATCTATATTTCTTATTTTCAGAAAACTAATTTAAAAATCGATTTTTTTTAATTCGAATTTTTTTTCAAATGTTTCTTAAATTCACGGGCAACGCCGGGAACTTCAGCAAGTAAGATAAAAAATTATTCTACAAAATTAAAAGAAAATTTACCTGACGTAGCTCTCTTCTGGGGCCGTAAAAAATTCTTCGGAATCCTTTCTAATAATGTACTCCTCATCATTGCCCTTCAATACAAGTTTTAAATTTAATGTTGTAGTTTCAATGACACATCAATTAAAACTCGACATCGACGATTTAGAACGGTTCAATTCAATTCCAGCACCACATTTTACTGTAGGGTTCTACGGGTCAAAGATAGAGCTCTTCTTAATAGATAAATATATCTCTTTCTACACTCCCTTATCCCCTTCCCCCACCTTATTATTTATCTAAAGCTATGACATCCACAGGTTACTTTTTACATTGTACTCTAGGAAAGGGTTCAATTTAATTCTAACACCACATTTTATTGTGGGGTTCTACGGGTCAAAGATAGAGCTCTTCTTAATAAATAAATATATAGATATAATCAACAATACTCGTTTTCCAATCATTAATCAAGAAAAATGTCGGCCATGATCTCTTCCTTAAATAAAGAGTGGAATTTATTAGTTTTCAGTCAAATTGATGAAAGATCTTCAAATATTAATAGATAACAGTTCCTCTAAGATGATGTGACAATTTAATTGTTAATATGGTTGATGGTAAAAATAAAAGTCAACTCTGGCAAAATCAAGATTGTTCTAATAATAGAATTTTCAAACCTGAATTTCATGCTCTAAAATTGACGTCTCGTTTTTTCGACCCCTTTTCTTCTAAAAAATTGAAAGGAGTATTTAAAAATCATCAATAGGTTTGAAAAGTTGTTTGTTTAAGACAATATTTATGAAGTAATGACATCAATTAATAATACCTTTGAGGATTGAAAACCTTCATCCTGTTTTTCTAGTTGGACTGAACCAGGAACAGTTTTTCTTTTGGATCTTCGACTGTTGGACTTTTCCAACTGATCAGAAGTTGCAGCAGATATATTCTCAACCTCCTTTAACTCAGGTTTCCTTTTAGATCTTCGACTGGTGGGCTTTTCTGGCATTTCCAACTTATCAGAAGTCGCAGAGGATTGCTTCTCAATCTCTTCAAACTCCGGTTTCCTTTTTGATCTTCGACTGGTGGACTTTTTCAACTTTTTAGAAGTTGCAGCAGATATATTCTCAACCTCATCTATCTCATTTTTGATTTGTAAATTTTCTTGTTTCTTTTCTGAAGATTGCGAAGATTTTTTCTCAGGCATTCTTTTACCCCTGCTCATGTTAATAGAGAAGTTTTGTGCATCTTCTTCTTTAAGGTTGGGATTCAAAACTGTTTCTTCTTTTTGTTCTTTTCTTGCAGACTTTTTGTCTTCTTTACTTTCTTTAGCAAAGGAATCCTTCTTTCCTGACTTTTCTATTCCTTTTTTAATAACCGTTTTGATACTTTCCAGATAAACTGTTGTACTGCTAATAGATTTTCTAATTTCCTTCCCAGTTTCATCGACTGCTTCTTTAGCATGCTTTAGAGCTACTCCTGAGCTCATTCTTGATTTCCGTGTGTTGGTAGCCTTGACATCATCATTTATATTCAAAGATTCTTTAGCTTCTAATCTTATTCTATTCTTATCATCCTGACCTTTTGTTCTTTTATAATCAGATGTCTTCTTCATAACTGCTTCATTGGCTTCAGCTTTCTTCTGATCTAATGCTTCCTTAGCTTCAGCTTTCTTCCGATCTAATGCTTCCTTAGCTTCCGCTTTCTTCTGATATAATGCTTCCTTAGCTTCAGCTTTTTTCCGATCTAATGCTTCCTTGGCTTTAGCTTTCTTTTGATCCGACTCTTTCTTGGCTTCAGCTTTCTTACGATTTAATGCTTCCTTAACTTCAGCTTTTTTAAGATCTAATGCTTCCTTAACTGCTTTCTTAGGATCTGATACTTCCAGGGCTTCAGATTTCATACAATCTACTACTTCTTTGGCTTCAGCTTTCTTATGATCTGACTCTTTCTCGGATTTAGCGTTCTCCCGATTTAATGCCTTCTTAGCTTCAGCTTTTTTAAGATCTGATGCTTTCTTAGCTGTTTTCTCAAAATCCATTACTTCCTTGGCTTCAGCTTTCTTATAATCTGACTCTTGTTTGGCTTTATTTTTCAAAAGATTAGACAATTCTTTGACTTTATTCTTTTTTAGTAATACATTAGGTGCTCCACTGTCATCTTCAGCTGTTTCTGTCAATTTACCAACCTTTTTTCCAAAGCCAAGAGGAAAAACTGTAGTCTTCTTAATAGGAACTTCTTCAGTCGTTATTATTTCAGAGATGTCTGTAATGGTTTGTTCTTTATTAGACATTTTTGAGGGACTATTCTCTTTCTCTAAAACGTTTTCTACCAATTCACAATCATTTTGCTTTCCGGTGTTTTGGTCAGAAGTATCAAGTTTGGCAGTGAATGTTCTTCGGATTTTCTTCTGGGGTTCATAGCTTTCAATTATACCAGAAATTTGCTTCAAATCTTCTTCACCACCAGAGTCTGGTTGACTTCTTCTGGGCCTTAAACTGTTACCATCAATAACATTAGCATTGCTCAGTTTTCGTTGCAAGTTCCTCACCCCCATGACAGGCCTTGGTTTTCCTGTCTGAGATGTCACACTTAATTCCTGGTGTTTCTCATCATCAGACAATATGTGTCCTGTTTCATCATCTTTATACTTCTTGGAAGGCTTCCGACTCAGTTTCACTTTCTTTACTTCAAGATCTTGGGATTTGCGCTTTTCTGAGTCCTTGGGAACAGACAAGGAACTCCCAGACTTGCCCTGGAAATTTGATGTTAAAGGGAGTGTTCGCGAAAAATGAAAGAAGGTATTGGCTTAATGCGATAAAAAAGCGCTTTTGATCGACACTAATTTTACTTCTATCTGTTGCGTCTATAAGGAGAAAATTGTTAAAAGACGTCTCATATCGAATAACTTAGCGCCCATACAAATTCAGAAAATTGCAACATACGACTTAGACCGTAAAAAATCAATTTAATTTTAAACAAATCATTCAGATATTACAACCTATAGTCATCGATTATCTTTCGCCACAATTGTATATAGTTTATATTTCATAATACTTTTTAATTAATTTGTTTTGAATTTGATTATTTCTCTTGTTGCTTGCGCAACTATCTAAGAATGCCGCGCACCACTCACATTTTTCGAAATCCGTTAACTAAACAGATCTTAGCAAAAAGTAGAATTAGACGGACATTTTGAGTGGGTGTAATAGAAGGCCATACTGCTGAAAATGGACCATCAGGTTTCAAGTCAAAACACCTAAACTTTTCTTTGGATTATGTTTATATGCAGTCAACTGAGTTATATTCTCAATTTTCAGAAAATGCCACCTAGGGAATTTTGAGCAAATTAAATTTTAAGAAATTGTAGAAATCAAGTGCATTCACAGGTCTTAAATTAAACAAAAATTGCATTTCAAGACTTTTATCCGCATCTTCTAACATGGTCTCCACATTTTTAATTTTTCTTTAACAGTCATGAAACTTATTGTAGCAAAAAATCAAACCCCTAACTCAACTGCCTGACTGGTCAAAATGTGGCCCGAAAAGGTTTTTTTACGTAATTTTTTCTGATTTTACTTGAAAAAGTCTTTTTTAAGCAGTAACTAGGCAATTATGTTCACTTAAGGCTTTGATTTTTTTGCTGAAACTTGTCTAATGACTGTTCAGGAAAATTCACCAAATTTGGGGACCCTGTCTTCAACGGTTCTAAAAATATCGCAAAAAAAACACAGAATAATCTTGATTAATCTTTGAACATACAATTATGATTAAGTTTAGACTTTAAATGCACTTTTTTTCTATATTATCTTTGAAATGGATTTAATTAAAATTCCCTAGGTGGCATTTTCTGAAAATTTAAATTATAACTTAGAAGCCTGCATATTAATATATTCCGAAAAAAAATTAGGTGTTTTGACTTGAAACCTGATGGTTCATTTTCACCAGTGTGTGGGATACATCTTAAACTCAGTTTGTTTGCCAAAAAATAGCAACAAATATTATATTATGCAGTTTTGCCAACAATGAGGGAAGCTGCAAAGACTTATCTGTCTATATTTTAGCTAATAAAATAAAAAATATTTTCAAGAAATGATATTTGAAGATTCACAAACTTGTTTCAACAGAAAGTTTTCTGCTTCTTTTTTATACAATCCTCTTCTGCAATTTGTTTCCATTTTTTTCCACAAATCACCAACAAGAAACGACAAAAAAGAGGAGGGTGGGGCTAGGGGAAGGAATATTAAAATTACCTGTAGAACTTCGTCATTGCTCTCAAGCGTGTTTACAGTGCAATGTTCTGAAGATCTTTCTTGATCATCATCACCATCCCTACATCAAACCAAACAAATGACCTTTTTGTAAAAAAATTTTTTTTGACAAAGATAAGCAAACAATTATAATTATGCTTACCGATATAATTATTAATAATAATATTAGTTTTAAATCATTGTAAAAAAATTGATATCATAATTTTCTTATTTTCTTATTTCTTCTTTGAAAGTACAAAGTAAGGTTTTGTAAGATTTCCTTTGTAGTTTCAGCACAAACTCAGTATCATTCTTAGGTTCAGCCAACTCTGTGTTACTTCTTCTTTTGTTATTAGGTTGCAAACTTTCTGTTTCGGTCGAAGGCAGAATCAATATCTTATTGTTTTTTGAAATTTTAGTTGTGTCCTTTTTAATCCTTGGAGGTTCAGACTTGGTCCCCATGTTCCTTGGAGGATCATCTGCACCAATCTTGGAATCCAGCATTTCTATTTCCTTTGGAGGTTGTGCTTCATCCTCTTTCTTCTTTGAAACATCTATTGCCTTCTTCACATTCTAAACAATACATTAAATAAAACTTTAAAGATACACACTATGAATAGTTGAATGATTATTAATTATTTATAACCTTCATGTTTGGATCGGCTGTTTTTCTTGCTCTCAAAGCTACAGTTTGCGGATGAGCTTCAATTGCTGCTTGAGCTCGGGTAATGGTAGCAGATACTTCCTTTTTCCTCTTTTCCACCCTTTCTCTATTCTTCTCCTTCATCTCTTCTAAAATCTTTTGTTTTTTCACCTCTTTCAAAACTTTTAGATCATCTTTACTCATCTGTTTAGGCATGCTTTCAGATTTGCTCATCTTCTTAGAATCATTCCTAATCTTAACCCTCTCTTGTTCAACTTCAACTGGATGTGGAGTTTGGTCCTCAATTTTATTATTCCCATGGTTTAATTGAGTCTGAGTCTTGGTACAACTCTCTTGTATGGAAGTATTCTTTTCTCTTACATCCTTCCTAGATGTGCAAGCATTTTCCTTCTTAGAAGTAACATCTAAATTTATTTCTGCTTTTTCAATCTCCTGTTTACTTTTCTGTCCCAGGTTAATTTTAGATTTGTTGCTGAACTCTCTTGTCAGAATTTCACTAGCTTGGGTTTCATTCTCATTAGCAGGTATTACCATTTCATTCAATGGCAATAGCTTTGCGGATTGAAAATCACAACTTTCAGATATTTTCTGTTTCGAACTAGGGAGCAAGGTCTGGCTTTTCACACCTCTAATTCTTGGTGGGAAGGGCCTAGAAACATTTAAAAATAAAATCTAAAAGATTATCTATCTGTTTTTCAATACATTGTAATTTCAAAGATTAAAACGTCAAATGGGAACTCAATTTAACTATTATTGTTGAAGAAAACATTTCAAAACCAAAACATCGGACTAAAAGCAGGGTCCCAAATCTTCTGGGCCCCAACATTTTCCTCTATAGGTTTGGATCCAGATCTTAAAGTGAGTGACTGGCAACATATGGTAGTTGAACTGAGAATGGATTATTGTGGAGAATTTTTTTAGGAATCATTTGATACCTATAAGAATACCTAATATTTGGGAAAAGATGTTAATGTTGGGTAAAAAAATAGCCTAAAATGTTAGCAAGTTGGATCTGGACTGGATTCAGATTAACAAAATAAACAGATAATAAAATCTAAAAAAATCCATTTGATCAGAATCACAAACACTGCTTTTCGGTATAGAAAGTTAACTATGGTTCCTCACCTAGGAGAAGCACGCTTCAGAGTGTTTTCTCTCTTTACTACATCAAAATCACAAGCTTGGGGTTCCACCACATCTTTCATCTTCTTAGTCTCCTTAACCTCCTTCTCCTTCTTTCTATCCTTCATATTCTTAACATCCATCACATCATTCCGCTCAGTTGAAATCATTATCTCCTTCAAATGTTTCACCTTCTTTATCACATGATTGGCCTCCTTCTCATCTGTAACACATGTTACTTCCATAACATTCTTTATTTTCTTTGCCTCCTTCTTCTCTTTTACCACTTCAGCCTCCTTCATCACCTTCGCATTCTTTTCCTCCCTAACCTGCTTTGCCTCAACCACCACCTCCATCCCAACTTTACAAGCAGAAGGATATGCAATATTCTCGAGGTCAGATGGGAGTCTGTAGTGTCCTGTTAAACAAAAAGAATTAAGTAAAGATTTTTTTATGGAAAAAGCTCTGGAGTGAGATAAAAAAAATACTAAGGAAAGCAATGAAATTATGAAACACTGTCTAAAAGTATGATAATTAAGGTCACCAAATATACATTTACCTCCAGGTTCCTGGCTCTGCCTCTCATCAGCAACCTTTAGCTGGGGTGTATTGAGGAGTTGGTTCCCCGTGGGGATAATTCGTTTCATCCTCAAACTTATCAAGTCTTCTGATAAAATCAAGAATAAGAAAGTTAAACAAAAGTATTAATTTAATAGGCTATCTTTATCTCCATTGTAAACATGTTTTCTTTGTGTACATTGTAAAACCAAAACAAACAAAAATTTCGCGGATTTTCTAAAAAATTTCATAGATTTTTAAAAATTCTCAGAAATAGAATTTTGATGGAGGGAAATTTTTAAAAATTTGATCATCCATAAATCTTCTTTGGGGTCACGCAAGGTCCAACGAAAAATTTGGACCCAATCGGTTGAGCCGTTTTGACATTTATTGGAAACAAATGGACAGACAGACAAACAAACTTACAGACAAGCAAAGTATTTATAGATAGAAGATGGTCTTCGTCTGGGAAAAAAAAATAATAAAAAAGAAACCCCGGCCCCTCCGGACAGGAAATGTTTTTGCATGATCTGGGGGGGAGGGGGGAATTGAAAATCAAAAGGAATTTTTTTAATAACATTTTCAATACTTTTTGCTCAAAATTTATTTATTACCCCCTAAAAATACTAAATATTTTCCACAATTCAACAAATATAACCCATACATTTTTTTTGCTTTTCGCGTTATTTTTAATTATGTTATAGAATTGCCTACTCCTCAGGCTAAAAAGTAATAGATTATTTAATGGAAATATATCAGAACACAAACATCTCCTATTACTACTAGGATACAAAACAAAAATCATTTAACAAAAAAAGCACCTTTAGCAGGGGAGTCAACTAATCTGGTAGGTTTAGTTAAACTCTGGGTTTCTTTTTCTGACTGGATCAAACTGGATGGAGGTTGAGGGAGGTCAGTAGGTGGATTAGAAGCAAGGTCAGTAGGAGGAAGTATCGTCTGTAATGGAGAGGAAGAGAAAACACTAGAAACGTCACCAAGCGGATGAGGGGGGAAGTCACAAGATGAAGAGGGCTTACTGGATGCAGGGTTAGGTTCGTTACAATATGGAGGCAGAGAGTGGTCATTGAATGGGGGTGGAAGGAGGTCACTGGGTGGAGGTGGAGGGAAGTCTTTCCCAGATATAGAACTTAAATTCTGCACGAGAGGAGATGGGGGTGGTGGTAGAGATAAATCTAACTGTGAATTTATTTCAAAAATATCTGGAGTGGGAGGTAGAGGAAGTCCTGGTGTAGGTGGTAGGATAAAGCTTGATGAAGCGGGCAAAAGACGAGTGGGCACCAGAGATAGATCAGGTGTAGAGGGAGGGGGAGGTTTGTCAGGAGATTTAGCTTGTGGTATAAGGGTTGAGTCTTCAGATTTATTCTCCCCTAGATCTGAATCTTCTTCTAATCTAGGTTTGTTCTTCTGTATCTGGGGTGAACTTAATTCTTGCCAGGTAGCCTGGGATTCTTCAATTTCAACTTTAGAAAGTTTATTTTGCAAATCAGGAGTGAAATTAGAGCTGTCAAGTTTGTTACCACAAGGAGGACAGAAGTTACTGAGTGATGGGGTTCGCGACAACTGCTTTCCTAGAATTCATTTTCAGATTATGGTAAGAAATGATAAGTTAATACAAAACAAATCCTTACCATGGGATGTACTGACCAATTTTTACTGAATTCTTATTTTTATAAATGTTCCCTAAATATTTTGCAAAACCTCTACCCAACTTGACAAAACAAATATTCAAATCAACTTAGTTCTTATGCACTTGAATTTTAGTTCAGAAAAAAAAATAGAAAAAAACCATGAATCAAATGTCTCCATTTAATCATTATGCATCTGTTAACATGAGAAAATATCTCTGAAAACCCTTGAAACCTTATTTACCTGATGGTATAACATTCACAACCATAAAATTCTCTTCATCACTACTCTGGACATCATTTTTACCAACAGGTGTCTGAACATTTAAAGTGATTTTGATAACCAAGACCATTTGAATTAAGTTTTAGTTAACTTAACATAACGATAAAAGGTTCATAAGAACATTTGTACCTGAACTTTATTTATGTCTACCAGTACTGCCTTTCCAACTGAATTCATCAAAGCCCTAGCAAATGTAGATGATATAAATCATGAATAGGAATATGGTTGTCTTAGGCATTTAACAGAAAGCTCTTTGGAAATTGCATGATGCATACGGCTAGTAAAACATGGATGGTTCTGAAACCTGAAGCTGAAAAAGACATCTTTGGGGTAATACCTTTTTTTAGATTACATGTGTTCTGCAAGGATGGTATGCTTTTTATATATTATATACACTATATCAAAACAAATCAAGTGTAAATCAAGTGAAAGGGAATCCGAAGTGGAACCCCCAAACATATATATCTATATGTGTATATATATATATATATATATATGGGGTATTTAAACCTTTGATATCTATTCTAGGCAGGATTGGCTTATGATACTTTTATAAAAAAAAATCTTTATTTTGATTGAGTGAGTGGCCCTGTAGGCATCTATTCTTGTAAATCTATAATAATGGCTAGAAGGTGACTGCTCTCTTCATGTGCGCCCTTTCCAGAGGGGGGGGGCANAACATTGATTTTTTAAGATGAAAATATTTAGAATTTTTTTTAGTCCATGTTACCAATAGGTACCCATGTGTTTCCTTACAAGAAATTCAGCCAATTTGGTCCAAACGTTATGCAAGCTATAGCTAACATATCTATATAATAAAACAAGACATTCATATATGTTTATCAAAGGGAACTAACGGAATTAACGGAACAACATGTTATCTTTGAATGCTCTGTAGTAGCCAAGCTCAGAAGAAATTTTTACATTTCCAATTTTATGTCCGAGTACAATGCCAAAGGCCCAATAGCTAACGTACGGGTTTTGCGAGCTTATCTTTGCGGGGATGGTTCCCTTTTATTTATCCCCTAGTATCCATGCTTGCCTGGCATACACACTGAATTCTTCAAGTTCAGGCCAGGACTGAACTACTAGATCCCATATAGACCAGGGAAAGTGGAGGAGCTCAACCCTATCTTCAAGTTCAGGCCAGGACTGAACTACTAGATCCCATATAGACCAGGGAAAGTAGAGGAGCTCAATCCTTTCTTCAAGTTCAGGCCAGGACTGAACTACTAGATCCCATATAGACCAGGGAAAATGGAGGAGCTCAACCCTTTCTTCTTTGTATTTCAACCTACAGGTCATTTTATTTTGTCTGTAGGTTGATTATAATAATAATAATATGTTGCGTATAGCCGGCCAAACGGCTGGACCAATTGGGCTGAAATTTTTTGTGGACACTAATGGGTAGGCGGTGGAGGTTATTGGCTAAAAAAATCGTAACTTTTCTTCAAATAATTTTTTTTTCTCAAAATTTATTTTCCATATTTTTTTCAAATTTGTTTTCCAAGGGCAACGCCGCGTTCTATAGCTAATATATATATTCATATGAGCGAAGAGCTTTATCATAAAGATAAATAGTATAAACTGACCATCTAGAGGAGTTGTTTGTCTTGAAGAAGATGGTGTCGATGGTTTTGTCTCCAATATCTGGGGTGGAGTCCGTGGTATCTGTCTTCCAGCTGGGATTATTGTCATTGGAGACAGTGAATCGTCAGGTTTACAGCTGTCACCAATATTACAGCTGTCAGCCGGCTTACAGCTGTCAACAAGACCATCATCATTAGCACCTGGTCTAGCTCTAGCTTCTGTATTCAATTCAACATCCTGAATTTTTTTTTCTTCTAAAATCAAAATGGTTTGGGAAAATATTTAATCAGAATTAACAGAAACCTTGTATTTGCACTCACTTGGACAAACATATTTTGCAAACAGGAACCAAAATATATTTTGAAAACAGGAACCAAAATATATTTTGCAAACAGGAACCAAAATATATATTTTGCAAACAGGAACCAAAATATATTTTGAAAACAGGAACCAAAATATATTTTGAAAACAGGAACCAAAATATATTTTGAAAACAGGAACCAAAATTTTGAAAACAGGAACCAAAATATATTTTGAAAACAGGAACCAAAATTTGGAAAACAGGAACCAAAATATATTTCGAAAACAGGAACCAAATATATTTTTTATTTAACAATGAATTTTTCTGATAATATTTTTGAGAGGTTTGGAGATTCTAAATTGGTTTCAATAAAATGAGTTTACAAAATAAACTGTAAGGGTACAGAATGATTTGTATTTCTGTAAAAAAAATCTGAAAATTTTGAAAGTTTCAAAATTTCTAATTTAATTTGCTATTCCGTAAAATTATTGTTTTGCTGATCAGATTCACGTAGTCTACAACTGAGCACAACACATAATTTTTGCAATACATCAACAAAATTATTTAAAAATAGAAAATTCTAAATATTACCTTTAAAAATCATTATTCCACGAAATGGGTCAGAATAATAAGCTAAATCGATAAGACGTAAGAAAATTTAAACACTATTTACATAATTTTGAATTAATGATTTGAATAATAACCCTAAAACTGGTGAGATCACTAGCCCTTAAATAGGTGAAAAATACAGAAATTTTAACAAACATATTTTCATCCCTTTTGAGAGCTTTCTTTGCATTTCCCTGAACAACTGCTCTCACCTAAAATACAAGAAGGGTCCAAATGTATCCCTCACAAAAAGTTAACCAGCTCAAAATAATGCTGATTAAAACTATCAAAAACACACCTGTTTCAAGTAATGAACACGTTATTCTAATAAAATTATGCCTACTATGCCTTAACTTAAGACACTCAATAAAATATGCTTTGTTTTGAGTCATTTTCTAATAAACAAAAAATACTATTTAGGGAAATGGTCCAAAACTCTCGTCTAAAAAAAATGTTGCTAGAGCTGGAAATCGAGGTCAAGCTCTGACAGGGGTTTATATTTTTCAGAATAACACCCCTTTCCTGGAGGGGGGGGGACGATTTTTGATGAATTGGGGAAGAAAAATAAAAAATGGGAAAAAGGCAAGATATTTATTATTTTTTAAACTTTTTAATATATCCACTGTGGACTCTTATAATTATCAGCTGGATCCTCTCTTTTGGATATCAACGCTAAGCTCCGACCCATGAGAGTTCACTCATTGGTTTCCCGCAAAATTTCCCAGCTTCTAATTGGCTGCTATGTTTATGCAAACGACACTCTGATTGGTTGGATTTTTACACATTCCTGGATATCAAATAACGATTAAATTAATCTGGAGAAAAACAAAAAGAAGAGATCAAACATTGATCTTGATTGATATCCACAATACAAGAGTTTCCAGCTCTGTTTGCTTATTTTACGTAACAATAACCTTAGTTTTAACTCCTTGAGTTCCATAAACATGTTCCAGTTTATCCATGAGAGCTGTAATTATCCTCGGGAACCGGTTCTTCTCCAGCAGGTTCTGGTTCTCACCCACCAAGTGACCCAGGCCGGTCAAATTCAAGTACCTGCAATACAATACAGTGTAATTAGGCAAGGTGCCTAAATATATTTAAAGAATTATTTTCTGAAGAAATTATCAAATCAAATATTTATTACATGGAGATTTCATATTAGTTTAGACAATATAAATATTTCAAAATAATACAAATCCTCTTGAGGGAAAAAGAATATGGTGGGGTAGAGGTTTTCTTCATTTTCCCTATAAACAGCTGAATTGTCAGGGGGGGGGGAGATCCTGGACGAGTGGTAGAGTAGGAAGGACGACAGAAAAACGTATATAAACATAATACTTAACGAATTATGTATATTTGAATATTCAGAAAATAACAAGCTAGTTTTTCTCCGTTGGTGGTACTCAAGAAAATTAAGTACAAAAAACGAAGGTTTATCAATTTTTGACTAAATATTTACCCTTCAAATGTCAGTTTAATCTGACCACAGACCAAATTTAAAAACGCAGCTCAAATATGGTTGATTCCACTTAAAATTGTATTCAATGTTTCAAGATTTAAACCGGCGCTCAATTGAAACTGGTTTTTGGCGGATTTGAGACGCGGCTCAAATTCATTAAATTATGACTCTGGGTTAATTCATAATGACTCGTCTGATCCATAATACCCTGCCAATTTTTAAAAAAATTTACTCAAGGTGAAAAAATCGACAAAAATTGACATGAAAAAATGCCCCAAATGATGTACTTTAGAGAAAGGGAAGATCTCAATGAAGAATATTTTTAGTTACATTTCACCTCTTGATCTTCTTGTGAACTGCAGGCTTTAGAATATCAGGATTAGTTTCAAGTTTTCCATTCAAACCAATTAATCCTCTGGAAATTTGTTTTTCTTCAAATTAAATAAAAATGTGGGGGATAGGATAAAAACATCCCCCATCCTTTCCAATTGTTCTCCAAAATTAAATATTTGTAAAAAAATTGAAAAAATTAATATTTTGTAAAAACGAATTGAAAAAATTTAATACCAAAAAGGACTTTTGAAAACGTACAATACAATTAACGGTAAAAGACGCATTACCTCAAAAATTTTATTTGGATAAATTTCATTCATCTATTTTCATTGGTTTCATGAGACTCAATTCAAAAGTTTAGATTTTTAAGTTGTCGCTCTTAAATAAATAAATAAAATGGTCAACCATAATCCCATGGGAGTCAGGGTTAAGCTCTCATCAAACCGTACCACCATATTGTTTGGCAGGGCGTCCATGTTTCGATGAAACAAGGTGTGGAGGGCCAGGCAAGGGTCAAGTTAAAAGGCGGGCTGCCTTAAAACCGTTAGCACACTCTCCAAATTCAATAATGCAACAATCTCAGTTTTAAACTTTTAAAATGTACACTGTCAATAAGATTAACAGAGAAAAATTAGTACAATTACTCTTAAATTAATTAAAGAAAAACAATAATAACATTCCTTGTATTTTGAATTTTCCAGCTGTCATCATACAGGCTCAGAAGACTAGCAAATAGTTCTGAAAAAAGGTTTACAGGATTAGATTTGAATTAGATATACATGTTTTTGTTTATTTCAACTGTTTTTATTCAAATGTGGTTTCTCTTGGTGACTTGCGCATTTCTTGCTTATCAGAAACAATAGAGAATTCACTAAAAACACTTTCTAGTGAGAAAAGTGACGTAATCTTCTACATTTTTG